CCTCCTGCACACAAAGCTGGCCAATCCTCACTATAAGCCGGAATTGCAAGCGCAGACGACCCTCCTCAATTTCACGGTCACAGAAGACGGTCTGGAAGCCCAGCTGCTGGCAGAGGTGGTCAGCATCGAAAGGCCGGATTTGGAGAAGCTTAAGGTAAAACATGCGACATCATCCACCAACACTTACTCAGCACCTGCTTTGCACACATTAAGCTGCCACACACACGAGAGTTAGACAGGAGCCCTGCCTGCCAGGACCTTCCCGTCTTAACTGAGAAAAAAGGGGGTATGTGTGAGCAGGAGCGGAAACCCAGGGGTCGTCTGATGAAGGAGGCAGTTAGGGTTGTCCCAGGTAGGAGAAGGGCTGGCTCCTGGTCTGGTTTGACGCCGGTGACTGGGACAGGCAGAGGCCCGAGAGCCTTGGGAAGCAGAGGCCTGTGTGGCTGCAGGCACGTGGCTTTGCAGTTGGGCGGTCACAGCCGATCAGCCAGGGCAAAAGAACGGAAAAGAGGAGTAAAGGAGTAAGGTTGGAAAATTTAAGGGGCCTGCCCTGGCCGGTGGGCTCAGTGGTTAGAGCATTGGCTCGGGCACTGAAGGGTCACAGGCTTGATTCCTGGTTAAGGGCACATACCTGGGTTTGGGGCTTGCTTCCCCACTCCCGGTCAGGGCATGTGCAAGAGGCAACTGGTCAATGTGTCTCTCTCACATCGATGTTTCTCCCTCTCTTTCTCTCCCTCCCTCCCCTTCCTTTCTCCCTCTTACTCTGTCTGAAAAGCAATGGGAAAAAAATATCCTTAGGTGGGGATTAATACCTCCCCCCCCCCCAAAAAAAAAAAAAAGAGAAAGAAAAAATGTAAGGGACTTGTCTTTGGTTATGACTAACAGTTAAAGGAAAATGTATGGCTTTAAGTGTCCTGATTGGGGAAAAAGAATTAAATTTAGTGTTGAATACAAACAACAAGAACACCAGAGGAAGATTATAAACACAGGAAGAAGGCTGTTGTAGACTTAAGTAATAGGGACAGAGTCTGTTTGGCCTAAAGGCCAGGAGTACGTCCCATCTGACCCTGGTTGGGAAAAGCGGCTCCTCCTGGTATAAATGTTTCTCCAGGGGCGGTTCCCGAAACAGCGCTAAGCGATGGTGACAGGTGTTCTCCCTCTGAACCCAGAGTGCAGCCCCTCTGACACTTCCCGAAAGAATGGTTAAACATGATTATCGGTGCATTTTATTTTTTCATTTTTTTTAATTTCCTATGTATTAAGGAATCACATATTTGTTCTCAACCCCCATTCCAATCCCCCATCCCCCCACCCCCTATTGTCCTCGACCACTGGTTAGGCTCATATGTGTGCACATGAGTCCTTTGGTTGATCTCTCCCTTTTATCCCACCCTCCCTTTGAGGTCCAGCAGTCTGACCCATGGCTCCTTATCTCTGGGTCTGTTCTTGTTCATCAGTCTATGTTGTTCACCATTTCCCCTAGATGAGCGAGATCATGTCCTACTGGAAATATACTTAAGAATCAAAAATGAGACAAGCAATAATTGTTATGCTGAAAGGCATATGAATCAGTCTGTAGTGAGCTTTTTTTCTTTTGAGACCCAATTTCAATATCAAACGGTTCTTTATGTGTACATGTCAGCAATGATATTTCAGTTCTGGATGGTGGGCGATCAGTGTGTTTCAATGTTACGTATGTGTCATTATAAAGGAGCCCATGAAATGGGTGAGTCAGGAAACTCTGCTTAAAAACGGGACTCTAACCACCACGTCTTCCGCTTCTCTCGGTGTGTGCAGCTGCTTCTGACCAAGCAGCAGAACGACTGCAAGATCGAGCTGAAGGCCCTGGAGGACGACCTCCTGCTGCGCCTGTCGGCGGCCCAGGGCGGCTTCCTGGGTGACACGCGGCTGGTGGAGAGGCTGGAGGCCAGCAAGGCCACGGCCGCCGAGATAGAGCGCAAGGTGGGAGAGGCCGGTCACGAGGGGGATGGGGAGACTTCAGTGCTCCACTGAGTGACCGTGCGTGGAGGGAGGTGTAACCCTATTGGGTAATCTCTCAAAGGGGACGGATGGATCTCCGATAAACTGCCCTAAAAACGGGCTTTCTGGGGCCCAGCTGTGCTGCTCCTCATTCCACAGAGACCCAAGCGTTCGGAATAGACTCCTTCAGGCTGTTATTTGGTGGCGGTGGGGTTTTTGTGTGTGTGTGTGTGTGTGTGTGTGTGTGTATTTTTTTGTTTGTTTTTTAATATATTTTATTGATTTTCCGCAGAGAGGAAGGGAGAGGGATAGAGAGCTAGAAACGTCAATGAGAGAGAAACATCGACCAGCTGCCTCCTGCACACCCCGCACTGGGGATGTGCCGGCAACCAATGTACATGCCCCGGACCGGAATCGAGCCTGGGACCTTTTGTTGTGGGGTCGAATCCTGGGTTCAAAATAAGACCACCAAAGGCTGATGATTAATTTTAAAAAGCAGGCAAGAATTTATTGAAATATCTGGCCAGGACAGCCGCAAGAGTACCACACGCAGGCGGACCCTACATGACCGCTAGGCTTTAGGGGCAGGTAGTTATTTTTAAAGGTTCTGAGAAGGAAAGCCCCCATTTTGCAACAAACTGTTTTTTGGAATTTTCTGCTGTTCTTCCTAGATAAAGTGTTGCTTTCTAGTTTGCTTTAGCCCGTTTGAAGAATGATGAAGATAAAATTAGCTGTCTGACCTTGTAGGCCAGAGACCAAATATGCCCACAAGCTCAATACCATGCCAGGTGCATTTTTTTTTTTAATTGGATAGAACAGCATTGTTTTCTAGGCCAGCATCGAGATAACCACTAAGTATACATAGGGCTAGCTCTTTAATGAAAAAGAAAGTTCTGCCTGTAACCTTGCCCAGAACTTGAACTCACCTTCCCTAAACCCATCACGAGATTAACAAAGCAAGTCTCTCCAAATTCTCCCCCTGCACCGTCCAACCGCTGGGGAACTCTGCAACTGTTCAAACCACAGGAATTTTCCTTTGTTCTAAATTCTAAATCCTAAAGACTATATTCTTAAAAACTGGGGTCAGCCCGCAGGGTCGTTCCCAGTCACATCCTACTGGACATTGGAATGTGGCCCTATCTTGCAGAAGCAGAACTCAGTGGTTAATCTCCAAAGGTTATGACGCCAGGCACAGGAAAATTGCCTTAGCAGGTTTTAAAAATTCAAACAGCAGTTTTTACCTGAGTTGTATATTCTTAATTTTTTATTTCACTTTCAGTCCACAGACCAACGCTCTATCCACTGAACCAAACCAGTTTCGGCTGTTTTGTTTTATTGTTAATCCTCACCTAAGGATATTTTTCTATTACTATTTAGAGAGAGTAGAAGAGAGAAGGAGAGACGAGAGAAACATCGATGTAAGAGAGATACATTGATTGGTTGACTCCTGCATATATCCCACCATGGCCGGGGAACCTGCAACCCAGATACATGCCCCCTGACCAGAATCGAACCTGGGACCCTTCAGTCCAGGGGCCGACACTCTATCCACTGAGCCAAACTGGCTAGGGCCTGTTGTTTGTTCTGTGACCACATTTGAGGAACCCTGGGGCCTGCTGGCTAAGAGGGTCTGAATTCGGAAAAGATTTCATTTAGTGTCTAGCCCTGGTGAACTAACCTCGGCCTGCCTCACCCCGGGGCTCCTCGGCTGTTCTACATCTTAGAGAAACACTTAGAGATGAAGGTTCGTGCCCAGGCCGTCAGGGCAGGGAGGCCGAGCAAGAGATGGTCACCTGCTGTTCTCAGGTGCCTTACTCACATGGGAAATGTCATGTCCTAAAAGCCCGGGAGGTTTCTCCCTGAGTAACGTCCCGCTGAACTGCAGTGTGTGTCCCAGGTGTTTTATGCCCAGTGCGCACTGTGGGTTTTCACAAGGCATCATTAACCCTTAAAACCCCATTGTTGCAAAATCAGAGGAACCCTCACTCGCTTTCTGGAACACCCTCATTCCTAAGCAATCTGCTAATTGCCCAGCAGAGGCTGTGTCAAGGAAATTCCATTTTACTCTCTTATTTACTTAAAAGGAATTCTAGGGGGCTCCTGAGATGGTAAAGATTAGAGCAATTGCCAAAACTGGTTTGGCTCAATGGGTAGAGTGTCGGCTTGGGGACTGAAAGGTCCTGGGTTCGATTCTGGTCAAGGGCATGTACCTTGGTTGCGGGCATATCCCCAGTAGGGGGTGTGCAAGAGGCAGCTGATCGATAACTCTCTCTCATCGATGTTTCTAATTCTCTATCTCTCTCCCTTTCTTTCTGTACAAAATCAATAAAATATATTTTTTTTAAAAAGAATGTTTAAAAAAAAAAGATTAGAGCAATTAAGTAAATTAGGTCTTAGCTTTCAAATTAACTTCTAATTGTCTCTTCAAATGCCTCTCCCTGTCTTCTTAATATGTTGCCATATAGGGACACCCCTCTCTGCTCTACATTTTCTTCATTTCATTTTATACACAAATATGGATCAAGTCTATTAAAAAATAGATGTAAAAAATTTCGGGAAATACTGCATCATATAGTGGCCGGCAGTGGTCCTGGCTAAAAGAAATAGATGTTTGAGCCTTGAATAAAAGCGAATGTTGGTTGAGAGTGGTTTCTTTTATTTTTTTATTTTTATTTTTTTTATTTTTTTTTTATTTTTTTTTTTTTTGTCCAGAAAAATTTAACAGGTTTATTTATATTGTTATAAAGTTGAACTGCTGAAACTTGTTCACTGAAACATTTGACTTGCATTAATGCTTTATGTCCCCGCTTTTATATTAAAAAAATCCACACACAAATGAAAATGGAAAAACTGCCAATACCTGATTTGTCCCCTATTTTCAGCTTGCAGTCATATACTTAGGTGCCTTTTGACCCCATGGAGGAAAAAAAAAACAAAAAAAACTAACGTTCAGAACTACCAATAACAGGAAGAAGAGAAATTTTTTAAAAGAATGAAATGTTTTCCATCATAGTGGATTCTTAAGCACGTTCTCCACGTATGCGGCGTGCTAGTTGGATGTCTTTTGGCATAATTGTTACACGTTTGGCATGGATAGCACACAGGTTGGTGTCTTCAAAAAGGCCAACCAGATAGGCCTCACTTGCCTCCTGCAAAGCACCGATCACTGCACTCTGGAAGCGCAGGTCTGTTTTGAAGTCCTGAGCAATTTCTCGCACCAGACGCTGGAAGGGAAGTTTGCGAATCAGAAGTTCAGTGGACTTCTGATAACGCCTAATTTCACGAAGTGCCACGGTACCGGGCCTGTAAAGATGGGGTTTCTTCACCCCTCCGTTGGAGGGCGCGCTCTTCCGAGCGGCTTTGGTGGCCAGCTGCTTCCGCGGGGCTTTGCCCCCGGTCGATTTGCGGGCAGTCTGCTTGGTACAAGCCATGGTGCAGAGACCTCTTCACGGACCCCCCCTTCTTCTCCTTCGGCTGGAGCTCGGCGAAGGCTGGAGGCGGCGGCGGCGCGCAGGCGTTGGGAGAGCGGCGGCGGCGGCGGCGGCTGCGAACACAATTGAAAGATCGAGAGTGGTTTCTTTTAATTATCTCTCCTTATGTACCCAGAGGCTAACACATAATGATAAACTAAATGGAAACATATGAGCATATGGACGCTCTGGTGCAAAGTCAAAACTAGACAGTCATGAGAGTCTTCGTAGAAAGGCTTTTTAGTAAGCCTGTCTATTACATATATTATTGACCTTGGCTGCTTTTGTATACCTTGTTGACTAATAGTTATTGGCATTGAATTGGCCCAGCAGACTTGTAAGAGCTCTCCCTGGGAGGCGATATACCTGGGTTATTAACCCCTGAAAGCAGGGGGCGGGTTACGGGGAACAGAAAGGTGACATTACTCGGAATAAATTCTGTAGCACTGAAACATCGAGTTTGTTCAACCTGTCATCAAAACAGCTGGCATTATATTCCTTCTCCTTGGAATGCCTATGAAAAAATTATTTCAGATGTTCATTATTTTAAATATTTTAATATTCATAGTAATTATAAAATTGAAATTGTTTTAATATGAATTTAATGATTTTGAACAGCAAGCACATAGATGCTATGTTATCTTTTAAAATATATTATTTTTTTTTATTGATTTCAGAGAAGAAGGGAGAGGGAGAGAGAGAAACATCAGTGATAAGAGAGAATCATTGATCAGCTGCCTCCTGCACATCCTCCAATGGGGATTGAGCATGCAACCTGGGCAAGTGCCCTTGACTGGAATTGAACCCAGGAGCCTTCTGTCTGCAAGCCGAGGCTCTGTCCACTGAGCCAAACCAGCTGTGGCTGTTACCTATTTTGATACGAATAATTTCTCCTTTCAGGTATGTCCCTTCCATGACTTGGATAAGAATAGAGAATGTGAACAGTTGAGTTACTCATGTTGTTTGCTCTCACCACAGGTGACTGAATCTAGAGAAAACGAAAAGAAGATCAACGAGGCCCGAGAATGTTACCGGCCAGTGGCTGCGAGAGCAGCTCTCCTTTATTTTGTTATTAACGACCTCAGAAAAATCAACCCTGTCTATCAGTTCTCCTTGAAGGTAATGCTGAATAAGCGAAGAAAAGTATAATACTTAGCTTCGGGGACTTGTTTCTGGAAGCTTAGAATTTATTTTTAAGCAATTAGTGCCCCAAGTAAGGAGTCATGAGGGTCTAGCTAACAAAGAAGCCAAAACATCCTCATTCTCTTACTTTCATTTATAATTTTCATTTTTTTCTTTATTAAGGTATTACATATGTGTCCTTAATCCCCTATTACCCCCCCCCACCTCCCATTCATGCCCCCACCCCCTGTTGTGTCCATAGATTAGGCTTATATACAGGCATATAAGTCCTTTGGTTGAACTCTCCCCATTACCTCCACTGTCCCCTACCTTCCCTGAGGTTTGACGTTCTGATTGATGTTTCTCTGTCTCTAGGCTCTGAGTTAATTGCTGGTAAACTATGAAACCTTATACTTATTTTTGTTCTTAAACAGAGTCTTGAGGAGTTCAATATAGATAAGAAAAATGTCCCTGAAGCTTCTATACTTTCTTTGTGAAAATGTAGATCTCTTTAAAGAGATTTCTTGTATTATTTTGGTATTGAGGGAGAAAGAACAAGAACAACTATATTTTAAGCCATTACTACATGCAAGGCACTTCCATACTTGAGTTCGTTCTTGTGCCTGAAACATTTCAATATAGTATACTGTTTTACACCTATTAAAAGAAGAAAATGAACATTTTCAGATTCTGAATAAATTGCCCAAGATTGCACAGTTCATACTTAATGAGACAGAATTTGAATCTGTGATTCCAAAGCCTATGCTCTGCTTTGCCCGGTTCTGCCTCTGGGCAGTATTCATTCTTCAGTCAATTTTTAAACAAATAGTTATTGAAATCAATCATCATGCCAGATGCTGGGGTGGTCACTGAATATGCAGGGTGTTTTTTTTTAAAAAAAAAAGCACAGGCAGGTATGAGTGAAGATATATGGGGGTCAGTGTGCGCGTGTATGTGTGTGTGTGTGTGTGTGTGTGTGTGTGTGTGTGTGTGTGTAAAAGTGATAAATACCATGAGAGGCAATAGTGGGCATGGTGGGACTGTTTCATTGGAGGCTCAGAGAAGACCTCTCGAAGGAGGTGACATTAGAACTGATTCCTGGAGGGTAAATAGGATTTAGCCACATTAGAGTGGAGAAAATAAGGATGTGTAAGACATGAGAGAGTTTGGGATTCCAGGTAGTGAATGAATCTATGTGGGTGGAGGGTAATGAGTGAGGGAGAAGTTGACAAAATGGAATCGAGAGAGATGAGAAGGTCTAAATCATCTGAGGCCCCTGGCCCTGATGGGGATTTTGGATTCTAGTCTGTGTGCCAAGGTAAGCCAGTGAAAGGCTTTAAGTAGAAGGCTGATATGACAAAAGACTCAGAAGTGGATAGACTTGTGATATGATTTGAAGCTGGAATAATCAATCCTTGGAGATGACTGGATGTGAGCAAAAAAGAAGAGGAAAAGAATCAAGAATAACTAGCAGGGTCTAGTAGTATGGGACTGAAAGCAGTGAGATTAGGTTATGGACAGTCACAGAGAACAAGGAGAACAATAAAAGGAAATCAGTAGTGCTAGCCCAGTATACCCAGATACCAGAACTAAGCTAAGGCATTATGAGAAAAGAAAACGACAGAGCTGCCCCCTTCATGAACATTGTTGCAAAACTACTCAAAGAGAGAGCGGCAAATTGAATCCAGCCATATATTAAAAAAAAAAAAACACGGTATATTATGCCCAAGTGGAATTTGTACCAGGAATGTAAGTTGGTTAAATATGAAAAGATCACACAATGTAATGCTTCCTATTACTAGAATAAAAAAGAAAAACCATATGATCATTTCAATGAATGCAGACAAAGAACTTGACAAATTTCAACACCTGGTTAAAAAAAACAAAACCCACACAACTCTGAACAAACTAGGAGTAGATGGTAACTTCTCATTGTGACAGAGGGCATCTATGAAGATCTACAGCTAATATCAGTGTAATTCAGTGTTGAAAAATAGAATGCTTTCCCCTAAGATCAGAACAAGACAAGGATATCTCCTCAAAAACACTTCTGTTCACTGCATGGGAGGTTATAGCTAATGCAATAACATTAAAAGGCACACAGATTTTTAAAAAAGAAGAAAACTGTCTTTTTTCCCCCCATAGATGACCTGATTGTGTATGTAGAGAATCAGAAGAAATCTACAAAAACACTCTTAGGACTAAGAATTGAGTTTTTAGCAAGGTTATAGGGTATAAAATCAATATAGAACAATCTGTTGTATTTCTATATATGAGGGACAAGAAAAATAATATCTCTAAGAGCTTTCAAAACTATGAAACTTTTAGGGATAATTTTAACAAAACAAATACAAGATCTGCATACTGAAAGCAACTAAAGATCATTGAGAAAATTTCAATAAGCCTAGGTAAATGGAGAGAGAGAGATCATGATTTTGGTTTAGAAACTCATTATTATTAAGATGTCATGTCTCTTCAAAATGATGTATAAATTCAATTCAGTCTCAATCAAAATCCCAGAAAACTTTTTTTTTGAGAAATTGATTCTAAAATTTGTGCAGGAATGCAAAGGACTTAAAATAACTAAATTTTAAAAAGAACAACAAATATGGAGACAAAAAAACATGCAAAGAGGATGGTGCAGTGTAGTTGTGTAGGGAGGAGATCGAGGTAGGTTTTATGGAATGATGCTAATAATAGTAATGACAGCAAATTATCATATAGTTTTCATAAAAACCCTGTCCTGTTGTCTCTCCCCAAAGATACCTTTAAACCAGTGGTTCTCAACCTTTCTAATGCCTCAACCCTTTAATACAGTTCCTCATGTTGTGGTGTCCCCCAACCATGAAATTATTTTCATTGCTACTTCATCACTGTAATTTTGCTGCTGTTAATGAATTGTAATGTAAATATGTGTTTTCCAATGGTCTCAGGCAACCCTGCTAGCGGATCTCAACCTATGGGTCACTGATGTAGAGCCCTTTACATTGCAATTCATTCACAGTAGCAAAATTATTATGAAGTAGCAACAAAAATAATTTTATGGTTGGGGGTCACCACAACAGGAGGAACTGTATTAAAGGGTCGCAGCATTAGAAAGGTTGAGAACCACTGCTTTAAACTGTGCGTGGCCCTGTGTGTCGGGGGCCAGCTAGACATCCAGGCACCAGGTATCGCCCTTGAACAGTCCCTTAAACTCCGCAGGCTTTCAGTGTGCTGTTCCACCGAGCCATGGAGCAGGCCGACAGGATGGAGGACACGCAGGGGCGCATCTCGGTCCTCATGGAGAGCATCACCCACGCCGTCTTCCTCCACACCAGCCAGGCGCTGTTTGAGAAGGACAAGCTCACCTTCCTGTCCCAGATGGCCTTTCAGGTGAGCAGATCAGAACCCAAGGCACCCGTCTCTGTGTATGATGTACTTCGTTTCTGAAGGGAAACATAGACACCTTTGTTTTGGAAACCCTTGGATTAACTTTTCAATTAAAATGTTTTCTTGCACGGTGCCACCCATAATGTATTATAAAAATACCTAGACTGCAGAAACAGGCTAAAATTCGGGTATTTGATCTTTTCACCTTTGTGATGTTTTTATGGGGAAATTAGGAATATTTTCATCTGAGCCCCTTCTACACCCCCCCAAAAAAATGTCCTATGGACTTCTTGTCAATTCTGTAATCAGAATGTCCAAAGTTTGTTCCAGTTCCTGGTGTGATTCTCGTAGTGTCTTGGATGAAATTCCCTCACCAGTACTAACGTATAGTAATAACTCTACCTTCTGTTTAGTAATCCGGTCCATTGTCATCTCAGGCTTTCTCAATTTGTAAAATAAATTTTAAA